GGAAATAACGAGAAGAATAACAGTGCAGTGAATGGTAAAACTGGTAAAACTGCACTACAAACCAGTGTGTTCATAATTAAGGTAATACTGTTACATGGAGGCATGACAACGGGGTTGGTGGATCCAAATGCAGGCTTTATTCAGAAGAGTGGTCAAAACAGGCAGGGTCGAAACAACAGCAAACAATATAATCCAGGGCAGAGGCAAAAGAGTAATCCAAAAAAAAGGCAAAGGTCAGGTCAGGCAGCAAACAATCATAAAAACCAGGTAAGCAGTCCAGGGTCAAAGAACACGAATGCATGGAAACAAGGAAAAACACAGGAACTAGGAAAAGCTACAGGCTAGCAATACTCAGCAGTGTGTGTGTGTGTGTGTGTGTGTGTGTGTGCATCTTATATAGTGTGAGACTGATGAGGTGATGAGATACAGGTGATTGCAATGGGTGCTGAGCCCAGGCAAAGGATTATTGGAAATGTAGTCAGGGGTAGAGTGGCAAGAGTCAGGGGTGGAGTTCATGGACACTCCAGCTGGAGATCGTGACAGAGCCCCAACCCACCCCCCACCCCTTAAGGAGCGGCTTCCAGACACTTATAAACGAGAACATAAATGAGTCCAGGAGGGAGGTGGAGCAGAGGCGGAACAGGGGGAGGGATGGAGAGCCAGGTCCATGTGGAAGTGAGGGAACTGAGGACTGAGGCAAAGCCAGAGGAGCAGGGTGCCAGGCCGGAGCAGGAAGCCAGGGCAGAGCTGAGGACCACCAGGTCGGAGCAGACAGGACTGAAGATCCCCATGGCAGAGCAGATGAGCACCACAGCAGAACAGATGGGATCGAAGACCCCCACAGCGGAGCAGATGACCACCACAGTAGAGCAGATGGGACTGAAGATCACCACGGTGGAGCAGATGACCACCAAGGTGGAGCTGATGGAGCAGGGAACCACCATGACGGATCAGGCTGGACTGGAATAAAGAGCACAGAGAGGTTATCAACGGCCTCTGTGGCGAAACAGGACAGGCAGAGAGTTCATAAATGGCCTCCTTGGCCGTGGCTGGACAGACAGAGAGTTCATTAATGGCCTCCTTGGCCGTGACTGGACAGGCAGAAAGTTCATTAATGGCTTTCTTGGCCGTAACGTCACAGTCAGAGAGTTCACAGACGGCCTCCATGGCCATGACAGGACGATCAGAGGGTTCATAAGTGGGCGCCAGTGCCCTGAGAGGAGATTAGATGGACACCACCCCCACCTCTGAAGGTTCTGCAGCGAGTGCCGCCACCTCTAGAGGTTCTGTAGCATGTGCCGCCACCTTTGGAGGTTCTGGAGTGAATTCAGGAAGTGGAGCGGGCTCGAGAGTGGACTCGGGTGCTGGAGCGGGCTCCTGAGTGGACTCAGGGACTGGAGCGGGCTCGTGAGCGGACTCCTTACTAAACACTGGGACTGGAGCAGGCTTGGGAGTGGATCCGAGGACTGGTGAAGGCTCGGGAGTGGATTCGGAGACCAGAGCAGGCTCGGGACTGGATTCGGGGACTGGAACGGATGCCACCGTCTCGGGAGATTCTGCAGCGGAGGCTGCCACCTCTGGGGGAACTGTGGTGGTGTGTGTGGCCCAAACACATAAAATGGCGACTCCGGAATGGCGGCCATGACGGGATGAGACTCTGGAACGGTGGCCATCTTGGGAAGAGGCTCTGGTGTGGCAGCCATGTGAAGAGGCTCTGAACTGGTAGCCATAGCGGGACCAGGCTCTGGAGTGGCAGATACTGCAGGAATGCCGTGTTCCTCCTCCACAACACCCACAGTAAAAATGCAGAGCCACTCAATTGGAGTGCCAGATCAATGTAAAACTCCAGAGTCCAGTGAGGATCATGCAAAGGCATGAGTGAACTGAGCGGCTCAGATAGCCCACCACAAAAAAATATCATCAGTTATACCTGGTCAAAAGGTGTTAAATGAGCCAGTCCAATAAAGTCCTCCACATAGTCCTCAATGTGTCGATCTCCCTGAAGGAGCTTAATTAACTGTGCTGCTGGATTCATGATAAGCCTGGGACGCTCAATAAAGCTGATGGATCCGGGTGGGCTCAGTATTCTGTAACGTGGAGGCGTGACAACGGGGTTGGTGGATCCAAATGCAGGCTTTATTCAGAAGAGTGATCAAAACAGGCAGGGTCGAAACAAAGGTCAGGTCAGGCAGCAAACAATCATAAAAACCAGGTAAGCAGTCCAGGGTCAAAGAACACAAAGGCAAGGAAACACAGAAAAACACAGGAACTCAG